GTTCACTTTGTGTACATGCGGGGAATCAGGCGTCGGACGTTTGTTGAAGGCCGAAATGTTTTTCGCTCAAATAAATCTTTCTGCATACTGTAGTGCGGGAGACATTCCAACATGCTTGCAGGGAAACTCCCTGCTGTCAATGAACCCACCGTCGGAGCGCCCAGGCAGGCCAACTCCCCGCCGCCCAGAGAAATTGATGGACGCTGTCGTACAGGCAACACTGACCAAAGCGTGCAGCGTCGGATGGAGAAATGGTGGAGCTGCCACAAAATTTGTCTTGTTGTCGCGCGGCAAAACCGGGTTGTACGTGAGCGGGATAGCCTTTTCATCATAACGGCAGCAGACTCCGCAGCAGGAGACAAAAAAGCCTTCAAGCTTTTCGCGAACAAGAAGCCCGGCCGCGCACACCCAAGAACGGGACGCGCTGATCATTCCTTGCGACGATGATGTTCCCGCCGGACGTGGCAGCTCAGCCTCTCGGAGCTGGGAGCCTCGGATGGACGGATGGCGAAGGCTATTGGTCGGTGGCGGTAGGACGGAGCAAAAGGGTACGCGACGGCCGTCGTGTGCCGCTCCGTCTCGCACGCGGTGCCGCCTATTATTGTGCTTCCTCCATCGTTACCTTTCGTCGAACCGGGAAACTCGAAAGGCGAACTGTGACGACACGCGGCCGGCGATTAGGGCTCGTGCCGCGGATGCGCGCAGAAGCGATGCCAGGGCGTAGGGTGCAGAAGGTTGTGCGTGTGGCGTGAGGCTTTTTTGTCTGGCAGGGATGCGCGCACGGACCTTGGCAGTTGGTATGCGCGATCTCGTCGATTTCCTCGGTCCTCCTTCTGTTGCGGACCCAAACAGCGGCGGCGGTCAGGCGACCGCGGAGTGCACCGCAAGCGAGGCCTCACCTGTTCATCTCCGCTCGCCTGCCTGTCCCCCGTCGAAAAAACCCATGTGAGACACACGCCCCGTGTGTCGGGTGCAGGACGGGTCCTGCAGGCCTCTTTGGTGGCGCCGATGCGGTGCTATAGCGAGAGGGAGACGGGAGTCGCGCGCGAGCCCTCCCGCAGCTGCGGCTACGAGCGTGCGACGCACACACACACACCGGGATCGTCCTGCGCTTTTTGCACGCACATCTCCGCAAGGACGACGAGATCTCTCTCTCTCTCTCTCGCTTCTCCCAGCCCGAGGGCGATTGCCAAATGGCCTGAACCCACACCCCTGCGGGCCTCCCCGCCTAAAACATGTGGCGCTCATCGTCGCGCGACCGCGTTTGGGCGATAGATACGCGTCAGCGCGTGTGTCTCTCTTTTCTTTGTACGCACGCGGAACGATCCCCCTTCGGGTCGGCGCGGTGCGTGCTAACGTACGCTCGGAAAAGGGCTAGCGAGGATCCTTGCGCAGGGTCCCTGATTCAGCGGAACATCCGTTGCTGTGCTGCGATGGTGGAGCATCTGGTGGGTTAGTGTGCGTGCCCCACAATATGTATTTGTAGTATGCTCTTTGGACCTCTCTCTGTTGCGGCAGCGCGCAAGGGGGCCGAAAGGTCGCAGCAAACACGGGGGATCCCTCGAGCCGTGTGTACAGCGGTTGTTTCTCCTCGACGTTCTCCTGGTGGAGCGGAACAAGCCCTGTTCAATGGGCAAGGGAGCGCACCCGGTGCCCTCGGGGCATCTTTCGTGCAGAGATGAGACGGTGCTGACTCAGCACAGCCAGCACAGATGGGGGTGCGTGATTGGGTATACACTATAGCGCGTCTTCCTGTGATTTGGAGCAGCTTAGCTCCTGCCGCAGCGTGTGCGCGGACCAAAGATGCAGCCGCAGTAACACGGACGTGCTTGTGGGAACCAGTGGGAAACCGCGCCTTGGGGGGAAAGAAGCCAGCTGGTGCTTTAGTTGGCTGCATCAGCACGGCCCTCGGGTGTGCAGGGTCGCAGCGAGAGTCAGACACGGGACGGGGCTCTGAGGCGTCTCGTGCTCTGATGACCGGGCGTGGGGAGGGGGGCAGCGTCAGCACGCGCCAGGCTACGCGACACGACACACCGCGGGGCGTCGGTTATCGCAGGCCATCGGGCGAGCGCGCGGGTACGGGGCAGCTCGCCTTTTGGTGGCACGGGGCCCCAAACGCGACGGGGGCCGCCCATCGATAAGCCAGGGCCGTCCGTTCCGGAAGGCAAGAGCGATTTTTCGTAAGCCTTCCCCCCTCCTCCACGGGACGCGCGGGGAGACGCAAACGGCGAAGGGGTGGGCTGGCGTGAGCCGGGTGCACTCTCTCTCGTCGCCGCGGACGTCGAAAAGTAGGACGGGTGCTCAGGCCTCAGGCTTCGGAAGGGCGCAGGAGCGTGTGCGGTGCAACCAGCATCTGGTGCACTCGTCAGCTGGTGGCACGGGGGGCGTTGGCGGCTGGGAAGCGAAGCTGAGGTCAGTCACGCGAAGGGCCCAGGGAGCGAGGGTAGGTGGGCCCCGCGCAGAGGACGGGCGAGGCAGGGTTCAGAGTGCCGTCTTCTCTGGATTGCTAGAAGGGCGACATGCGTACATTAGCGCGACCTGTCCTCCGGAGTGCACTCGGGATCGGTACCTTCTTCCGGGCTTACCGTGCACCCCTGTATTGATGCCGCGGTGGTGCCTTGTCTGCGAGTCCCCCTGCTGCCAGTGATCGCGCGACCGGTGTGCATACTAGAGGGCGGGTGCAGTTTCAGAGGCACGCCGAGGATTGTTATGGCGACGGACGGGGAAGAGGATGTCGGCATGTGCTGGAGGACTTGTCGTGGGTGCGGAGGGTGTTGGTCGCAATTGTCCGTCGGCAAGAGGACGATCATCTGCAAGCGGGTTTTCTGGTAAGCAAGGCCGACGAGAAAAGAAGGGAAGCCGGTTGCAGAATGCGGGGAAACAGACTCACCACGTCATCTGCGCGCACACAGGCCATTCAGTCTCTGATCAGCGCAGATAAGATCCCTGCCATCTTCTTCCGTCCAGGCACCCTCAGAGTTCAACGTTCAACGTTCAGCAAGAAGAATGGGAGAAGCGTCGCGGATATATCGTACAATGCGTTATGGTACAACACACGGCGGTGTAGGGTACAGCGCGGAACACAAAATAAAGAGAAAGAGAATTGCTTCCGAGATTATGGTATCGTGGAGTGATGCAATGCATGATACAGCGATGCGGTGCAATGGGTGGTGGAGGAGCAACGACCAAGTGACTGCAGAGACGCAGCGCCTGCGCCCGCTCCTGATCCAACAATCGTCCTTCCGTCGACTCTCCCTGGGTCCCCTCCGACGTTCCCTACAGAGAACTTCTCCTCTTCGCCCCCTCTTCCCTCTCCTCCTCCCCCTCTCCACGGACTGTGACCCCGACCTCCCCCGAGTCCGCGTCCGATTAACGTGGCGCGTCGTCGCGACGACGCGCAGACCGCATAGGTATTAATAGGTCGTCGACTGTGGACGGACCATGCGAGAGATGCAGTAGAGCAGTGGTGATACAAGCGACGCGAGCTTGAGATGCAAGAAAACATGGAGAACAATAGATAGGCTAGACAGCGATGCTGCGAGAGGATGAGCCACAAGTTCAAAGGCGTGGCGGGCAGTACTCACAGTGATATGATGGAGAGACAGGGAGGCTATGGTACACACCGGCCACGTTCGTTTACTTGAACGGGCAGGTCGGGGCGTGGTCACCGCGCCAGCCGCAGTGGCAGCACTGGGGGGCGTTGTGGGTCACGGAGGACGTGCACTCGTGCTGGGAGCTGGTCGTGCGGAAGAGGACGGGTGTGTAGACCGCGGTGGAGCTCGAGCTCGAGGATGTGCTCTGGGCGGCGTACATGGCGGTGGTTGTGAGTGAAGACGAGAGATGACTGGGTGAGATGAGTTCGAGGGGCGGATGATGGAGGCCATGGAGGGGGAGAGGGAGCTCTATTTAAGTGATTGGATGTGGTTCGGCAGGGACGGCGGAATGTTTTCCATTTAGGAGGGTGCTACGGAGGAGCAGAGGACAAGTCAGACTCGAGCTCTAACACACTGGCGACAAACAAGCCTCAACATTGGGCGCCTCCCCGCATGATATCTCGTCACCGGCTTATCTCAGATTTTATGGGGTATCCGCATCTCAGATGCATATGGTCCGCGCTAAACCGCTTGCGGGACCCATTCATTGCGATCCCATCAACCAACCGTTCGTTGTCGACGTCCTCGCTCTGGCAGCAGACACCTCCTCACAGTCCCTTGCGACGCCCGCCGGCAGCCCACCACACACATCCTCTTCATCACATCTCTCCCCGACCGAGGCCGGCTCACAGCAGCGGGGCGTCCCATCCTTCCCGTGTCCAGGGCTTTCCAGCTCACTCCGGCTGGCTCTTGACTCGCCGACGACGGGCTGTGCCCCCCAGCTGCAGTCCTCGTGCCCTCGCCTCAAACGTCTCCCATCCTCCGCGGACGCTCCTGGTGTCTCTCCTCGAGGCTTTTTCACCCTGGCGCCGATCTCCCTCCCACCGCCATGCCCGCCATGGTCTCCTGCTGCGGACGGCCGGTCTTCCGAAAACGTGCTCGCTTTTCTGTTCCTTGGCCCTCCCGGTCTTGAATCGCCTTTCCCTCGGTGCCCTCATGCCCTGCCTCCTCTGCTGATCGGTGGTCACAGGACGCGCCAGCACCTCCAGCACCTGCCCAACGCCACCAATCGCATCCCTGCCTTTCATGGCCAACGGCGCGTCTCGCACTCCACTACTCTATATCCTCGCTCTTCCCGTCCCTTTGGGTGTGATTTCTACGCTCCCGAACCGAGTGACTAGGTTGACATCGTCTGACCAGCAATCACTGCTATCCAGAAATCTGTGGCGTGCGTCCTGCGCGGGACGTAACCATCGTGTAATGACCGACCAATATCTACTCGCAGCAAGCCACAACGTGTCTGGACATCGCACTATTTTGTTTTTTTTTCTGCTGTGCTTCCCCACCAGCGGTAGCCTCGACAAGAGCGCGCCGTTTTTCGAGCGTTCAGAGCACTGGTCCTAGGAATGTCTTGCACCGCCTGTCACTGATAGGCTCGCAGTTTCTGTCTGCAAGCCTCAAGGCAAACCCGATGTCGGGCTATACTGTCCACCCAGCTCGCCTCCACGCTCAGACAGGCAGCTGTCATACGACACTCGCCTCCTAGTCTCCCGGGCCAAACATACACTCGAAAAAAAATCGCCTAGGCACATGAAAGCATTCCGGCGACAGACGCATGGTCCCTAGCCGGACGTACCAACGCGACACCCTTCACATCACCTACCCCCGTTCCGTATTGCACGGCAACGCCAAACCTTTGTATTCTGCACACATCAGCATCCCGGTACCGGTGTCGCAGTTGTTGCGATGTTCGCAAGACGCGACGAGCGCGTCTCGCCGGGAGGGCACGTGCGCCCTGGCCCATCACCCTCCTTCTGTTTTCGCCACGCAAAGAGGCCCTGTCTAACTGCCGGCCGCACGCCCGCTCCACTGCGCGTGCACCGCAGTTGCCCTATACGCACACATTTTCCCTCCGCAATAGTACGCCCCGTGCGTGCGCGCTCGCACGTCCTCTTGGCCTGCGCCTTCTAGCCGGTCGCTACTGTCAACGAATGGACCGTCTGGGCACGACCGTGCTCCTCGGGAGGCACCCCGACGCGGTGTTGTTCCCGTACAGGTTTAGGCTGCCTCGCGCTGGTGCGGTTATCGCTGCACACTCTATCAGCTGAGTCGGGATTTAATTGCGAACTGCTGCTGTCAACCGGGAGAGGCTAGTGGCCGCCAGGTCCGCGCAGCACGTCCGGCCACCGACAGGGACTCTATTAATAATGCTCTTCCTGTGACGCAGGAATACGTGCCAGCTTTGCTCGTCCCTGCATGCATGTCCTGCTAGCTGTTCTATATGCCCTCGCCTTCTCTTCTTCTTTTCTGGGCCCGAATGTCGGCGTGTGCGCACTAGTGAAGAGAGACAGATCCTGATTGCTGGTGATACGCCCGTCGGAGAGGGCTCACGTCGTCACATTCACATCTGGCGCGCGCTGCGTATGTGTGATTTGCTACTGTTGGGTGTGCGTGCACAAGGGTCCTCTCGCAAGTGCGGTGACATCGCGTCTGTGCCCACCGGCCAATGACAGCGCGCCGCCGTGCGAAGCCTGTGTGCCTGTCCGAACAAGCTCTGGTTTCTGAGGATCGCGACATCCAGCCGGCCGGTCGTGCTCGGGCGCGCGTCCGGCTCGGTGTCCCAGTCACCAGTCCCAGCCGCGTATGTTGGAAGTCAGAGATACACGAGGCCGCACGGGCTGTGCGTATGATGTGTCGTAGACATTTCTTTTGCCGTGCTTCCCGCACGGAGTTTGCTGGACGGAAGCGCCGTGCGTTCGTGCCGACCCTGGAGGAGGCCTGGGGGGGACGCGCTGCGTGCTGCCTGCCTCCGTTACGGCCGGCTGCTCACGGGTGCCACGCGCGCCAGTCCCCCGTCCTTGTCGCCGCACACGACGCATCGGGGCAATGCGCTGCCATAAACACACACGCGGGCGCGGCGTTTTCTTTCTGCGACGGTGATTGCGTTCGATGTGCGAGCGGGTGTATGGCACCTTCCAGGGGCGCCATCGGTCCAGACGTGTCCTGCACCTGCAGAGGTCCGCGGCGCGCGCTGTGGCGCTTGCGACCCCGTAACGTTGTTGGGCCGTCCGTACGCAATCGTGACCACTGCAGCGTCCAGGGTCTGACAAGGGCCTTCTTTCCCTTTCGCTGCTCGCCGCTTCGCACGACGCTCTGGAGCCTTTGTTTCCAGCACATTCGGTGGCATGGGTCGTGTGCTCCCCAGCTGCTCCCACTAGGGGCTTCTCAGGAACAGACCCTGCTCTGTCGTTCGCACAGAAGGAGAGAAAATCTGCGCGCAGAATTCAATACGTGGGCACGGGCACCTGATTCTTTTTTGGCATGACAGTCCGCATTCATACATGGTTGCCTTCTTCGGCCGGCCATAGGCTACACAGACGCACGTCCTCGAGCGATGCCTGTCCACGATCTTACGATTCATAACGTAAAACGCAATGTCCGACCTCGCACGCACCCCATCACCTGAGCCCCAGCCCAGCACCACCGCCACATATCAAGCCCATCGGTGCCCTCGATCGCAGACTCGCAGGTGTGCGAAGGGGCGCGACGTGTCTAGACAGCCCCAAGGCGACTTTCCCCGGCCGGTCGATCGAGGTCACGACACACACACAGACCCACAACCACGGTCGCGCCCCAACACGCCTCTGCCGGGCGAGTACGCGCTCCAGAGGAGCGGGTCTCCGTCCGCCGGCCGGCCAGCCAGCCAGCCTACGTCGTCGCGTCGTCGCGTGACCGTTTCGGCGCGTGCGCGTACCACGCCGGCATCTCGTTCGCCCGCGGCACGGCCCTGCGCCGGAGCTCGCGGACTTCCTCCTCCTCGCGCTGCGCCTGCGACCGCCGCTGTTCTTCCCGCTGGCGCTCGAGCTCGGCCTCGCGCCCGCGCCGCGCGTCGTCAAACCTCTCGCGCTCGTGCGCCCGCGCCTCCGTGTGCAGCGGCAGCGGCGCCGGGACCGTCGGGTGCACGCCCTGCCTGCGCCCAGCCGCGACGGCCTGCGCGTGCCGCGTCTGCAGCGCCGCAAAGTCTGGGATCGCGAGCGCAGGGTCGCGCGGACGCTTCGCGGTGCTGCCGTCTCCTGCCCTGCGCGCCTCGATGCGTGCGTCCGAGTGGAAGTGGAACTCGACCGGCTTCGTCAATTTCGCGGCGACAGCTGGCTGGGACGCCGTCTGCGGGAGTGGGATGCCATTACAGTCAGTTATTGCCACAGCACGGTTCTTTCATTCATTATGCGAGATGGAAAAGGGCGGCAGGAACAACCAGGCAGAGAGTCAATAGAGATGTGCGCAGATTGTAACACGATCGAGAGTGAAATGAACAGGCTCTGATCAAGCTACGTAAAACGTTGGTAGCAAAGCCGGGCACAGGACCATGCATGCACCAGCCACACAGTTCCCGTGCAGCAGCGGACTGAAGAACAATGAAGCAGGAAATTGAAACGCAAGACACTCACCAATCGCTCAGAAATCGGCATCCGAGCCACCTTGCGCATCTGGGTGCTGCCGTCGCTATGGCTCATTGATTTCGCTGCTAGCGGCACCTCCCGTCGTTTCCCCGCATCGTCCGCTGATTTACTTGTGGTGGGACGTGTCTGCGCAGAAGAAGGGCCAGAAGCATGCGGGTTGAATGGTATCGGAGCTGCCAAGGTGCTGCTGCCGCCGGATAGCGCTGTCAGGTGACTGTCCTGTGGGAGAGGCTTCTCTGAATTGGCTGAGACGATGCTATCACCGACGTCGCTGGTCGCTGTGCTGTCTTTGCTCGATGACAGCCCGGGGTTGCTGTCGCTGCCAGAAGATTTTGACAGCGTAGAAGACGCGGCAGAGGCGTTCTTCAAGCGCGAAGACCGCAGGACACGCACCGAACGCTTTGCGGCCAAGGTGGATTTTGCAGATTCGCCAGCTGCCTTGGCCTTCGGGTGTATCGTACGACCGGTCGTACGACTGCCCGCCGCACGGGCTGCGTTGATCGATGAGGCAACCTTGGTCTTCTTGCGTTGCGGTTCCCTTTCGGGCAAGTCGTCCTCTGCAGTTGGCGCCGAGCGCTTAGCAGCAGGCCGCATCGGGGAAGGCGGGACCGCAGGCAAGGCGGGCGCCTCGGGCGCCTGTTCCTCCAAATTGACGTCCATGGAATTATTCTGGACCGGCTCGACCAACGGACTGTCGCGCGGTTTGGTGGCCGAGTCCAGCGCTGTGGCATCTCCTTCTGGTACGGGACTACCAACGCGCGGTAACGCGGGCGACTCAGCGGCATGGTCGTCCTGGACGGGAGGGCGATCTAGATCGCGGTTTCTGTCCGCAGGGCTCTCGAGTGTGCCAGAGGCTTGGGCTTCAGCTCCTTCTTGGTCCCGCTGCAACTCCGAGGCAGAAACGCCGGGGAGGACGGGTGGGTCCACGAGCATGCCGCCCGAGGGGGATAATCTGAATGAAGCAATACCAAAAGTTGTTGTAAGCATGCGCCGTTGTATGATCGCTCGTACGAAGCCCTGCCATGCACGTACCCGGTCATGTCGGGGGACGATTCCTCGCCGTATGGGACCCTAACTTCCGACACAGCGTCCAGCTCTGGGCCAGCACTAATGCCCTGGGAAGAAAGCCCAGCGTGCGGAAATGCTGCATTGGTCGGAAGATCTGCCGTGGCAACGGAAGATGCGCGAGTCCGCCGCTGTGCGCCAGTTTTCCTGCTGGCCTTTGCTGCGCCGCTACGTGCAGGAACAGAACTTCGACGCTTCGACTGCTTTGTGACACCGCCACTAGTGACAGTAGCCTGGGAATATCAATTGGCAAGCGCAGATCAGGCACAGTCAGTAAGGGCGGAATGGAACTTGTATAGATATCGGAACTTACGGGCTTACGCCTCACTTCAGCAATGCGAGTGTCAGAGGCAGGATTCTGCGCGTAAACGGGCGGAGGAGATACCCCCTCGGTCGCAGCGAGGGAAGATTCTGCTGGAAGTATTTCGACATTTGGCTTGTCAATCGGCAAACTAATCGAATCGTGAGAGGCTAGCTCCTCGACCGGCTGGGGTGGGGGCGAGGGCGAGCATGGCACAACCTCGATTTCGGCTTGTCCAGGCCCTTCTGCGACGTCTTCGGGCTCTGGTTCGCAAGTCTCGGCCGTGTCCTGTAGGGCCGAGAAGATACCCATTGTAGGTGGAGGCGACGGAGAGCGTGGCCGTTCGTATTTGTCGACCCAACTAGGGACGCTCGTGGATTCAGCTTCTTCGTTCACCGGCGGTGACAGCAATTTGATCGCATGCGGGCGCTGCGGCGTCTTGGGAGGAGAGTCAGCCTTGCTGAGTGTCAAGGGCACGGTGGGCACCGAGGGCACCAAAGGCTCTTGAGGCTCCTGCATCGTTACGGAGGCAGGCCCTTCTCCAAAGCTGGCATCATCGCCCTTGCCAAACATAGACTCGCCATCGTCCATCATCAAGAGGTCCGTGGTCGCGTTCATCATGGACGGGATCTGGAACGACTGCTCCTGCCGCCGCTTGAAAGGCGAGAGCGTGTCTTCCATGGCAGCACTTAGATCGGCCTCGACGACCTGTTTCAGAGGCGAGGACATGGCGGGCGTACCACGATGCTTTCTGGGGGACCTTCGAAGCAGCGATTGAGGCGTGGCCCTCGCTCTGGGCCTCGTAGATCGTGGCGTAAGTTCTGCAAGGGTTAACGGGTTGTCAGGTCTTGTCCGGGTCGGGACCGCGGGGGTTGCGAGGGTGGTGTCGTCCCCATCGAGAAAGCTGATGCTATCATCTGCCAGCAAATTGCTTGAAGAAGCGGTGGGGATTTGAAACGATGTGTCGGAGTAGTCGTCCATGACGAGAAGGCGAGGTGGAGGCAATCGGTAATGAGCTGCTCGTTCCCAAGCCCGGAAACGATGATCAAATATCACAAGATGGACTACTTTGTTCGAGAAGAAACGTTTCAAGTCGTCAGACGCGTCGAGATCGTTGTAGCCGACGTCGAGGAAGGTGTTGAAAACGGCGACAGAGTGGGACAAACGCGCTGATCGGAACCGTGGGAAGAAACGCGCCCGTGACACGCCATCACGTGGCCGCTAATCATGGATATAATCCAAAAATGGTAGGCACCCACCTTAATCCGGATCGAGTAGTTGGGTGCATCGTTTGCGTGCTGCAGTGATTACCGTCCAAGGTCACCTCGAGGTAACGTGTCCACACCTCCCTCCCTCACTGCTGTGTGGATAAATTCCAGGATGTTTCGGTCTCGGGCCCAGAGACAACCGATTGACCACACAATAATGAGATGAAATCACTGCCCCATTGTAACGTAGTCACTTCTGACCAAACGCACGACGCCGACGGACAACAACGCCACACGAGTCCGTAGTCAGCTACGGCGATGTGTAAGCAAAGTATAAAACATGTGGCAGCCTGCGGAGTTATTCGGACCAGAATGCTATCTGACTAGTACTAGTGCGCTCGGTTCAGATCAGCCCGCTTTAGCAACTGAATGCAGAAAAGATTGCTGATTTTATACTCTCAAACCCCACGACTTGTATTGAGCAACAAGACAGAAGGCTGTCTCACCCTTTGGTTCAGGCACTCGCTATGCCGGTTACTCTAACTGTTCTTGTCACTGACTTTCTCATACGTTGCCACGGTCCTGCCCATGCGCGGGACCGTAAGAGGAACGCACTTTACACCTGGCAGCTGAAGGAGGATCTCTATCCCGGAGACGTCACATCGTCTGACATATGCATCATATTTTACTACGATCGAGCCAGGGTCGCCTCCGAGGCAGCCGCGCCCCAGTGACGCAGTCATCTTGTTTACGAAAACCGCCCCTGCTCAACAGGACGAGCCTGGCCGCCTAGAGACGCAGCGCACGACGATACTCGATAAACGCCACGAGGTTATCTCGCACCTCTTCTCCACGGCGACGCAGCTCGCGCTCCCGTTTGCGATCAATGCCGCGGACGACCTTGCGCACTAGCTCAACGGCGGTCGTGAGGGACCGTAGGTAACCGCCTTGGCGGAAGACGATGTCGTACGGCACCGTTTCGTCAGAGTAAATGTCGATTAGTGCAGATGCAGCTTGCAGAAGGGGTTCCGTGGGTACCGCTGCGGGCTGCCCGAGCAGCGAAACCAGGAACTGCGATATCATCTACAATATAGCGTGGGTCAACAGTGCACAGCAAGGGATGCTGGGAAGAGCTGGCGCACCCGATTGCCATCGATTGACTCTGGGTGCTGTGCGAGACATTCCAACGTGCCGATGCACTTGACCTTCACTGCCGGGTCCGATGCTGCCGCGCAAAGCTGTATCAGAACGTTAGCCTGTTCCACTTGTGGCACCTGCACGGTATCAACATATTAGATACAGCGAGGCAACACTAATTTCTCGCGCATAAACCGCTCACCAAGATACCCTTCCAGAGGATGGCAACGCCCCACAGGACACCGACACCAATATACCACATATCCCGCCGCCTCTCCTGACCTGCACTCTCGACGTCGGTTCCCACGGCGCTAAGGGCGCGCCACACCGCGTCCCAGATCTTCGGGCCTGCCTCTCTATCCGCATCCGATGTAAATCCTCGCGTCTGCAGTTGCGCAGGTGACGCTAGCGACAAGAATATGTTATTGAGACATTCCAGGGCACAGGTATGAATGGCGCTCAGTGCCGAAGTTGTCGGGGGATGTGGTGATGCCGCGCCGGCCGTGGGAGGGAACGACAGCGGTGTGAGCTGAGTTAGCGCGAGCAGAGGCTCGATAATGGACGGGAGCGCCGACGGCGCAGCAGCCTTCTGAGGCTGTGTCTCCATCTCGACTTCTTCGTCAGTGTTTTCGGCCTCGTCGTCACCATCTTCGTCCATCTCATCTAGAAGTCCGACTCCGGTTAGGACGATGACTAACGGAAATAGCAGCTTACGTACCGTCCTGCGCTTCGCCGACTTCTTCAGCCTCCGGTTCAGGGTCAGGCAGCGTCGCAGAGACACCGGTGAGGATTTCAACAGCTAACTGCACGGTTCGCAAGCGACGCTCAAGCAGTTCAAGCTCAAGCTCCGCGGGGCTCTTGTGATCGCTCTTGGGTGCGCCCTTTAGCGAGAGCTTCTCCATCTCCGGAACGGCTTCCTATCGTTTGCTTTGAGTGTTCACTCCACTGGCAATACAAATTCGCTACACACACCTCTTGTGCGATGAGCTCTTGCACACGCTGTGATATCTCAGGCAGGGATGCCGAAGATATCACCGGCAGTAATGCGGGCAATATCAGCTCAGTGTCAATGTCAACCATGGCAGCTATTGACGGAGGAGGGATAGGTGCCACATTCCTCAAGATACCTAGAGCATGCGGTCTGACGATCGGCGGACAGCACATTCATCTCCCATGCTCACCAGTACACAGGACGCGAAGTGTGGTCTCTCGATCATCCGAGACATCCTTGCCCTTTCCATTGGGCTTTCTTGTCTCCTCGTTCCCCCGAACAATAGCCAAGAGACAAGCGGTGTATTCTCCGTTTGACCGTAATTCACCACTGACCGGCGGGTTATCGTCGGTAAAGACGTACAAACACTGAGCTGAGGTGGCGCGTTAGCAAGCATCAGACCTGCACGCTCATTGGTACACGCACCCGCAGATGTGATCGTAGAAAGCGGCAACTTGTCCTTCGACCCAAGGAACGACATGAGGAAAGGAACTAGGCCAATCTGATTAATGGCGTCCAGGGCTTTGTTCGAAGTCTCCCTGGTCTTGGTTAGTCTGAATCTTCTCTAAGTCTTGAAGCTTCATCGTTACTCACGACAGGCACCACAGGATCGTGATGATGTTGTCTGCGAACTCGTAGACGAGCTTCTGAGCATTGTCTGGCGCCGTTTTGGGGTTTTCCAGGTACTGCGACAGAGTGCTGGAGATCTGTGCATGCGAAGTTAGTTGATGTACTATGTTGCACGTAGTTTCAAGTCACGAACTTTGGGAATGAAAGCCTTCAGTGGGGATAGGATGCGCTTATTATACATTTCAGCACAAATGTCATAACCACCATCAATGCAGAGGTTCCTGCGTATCAAAGCGTGAGGAAAGTATGAATCATTGCTCTTTGTGGCGTACACACCGTAATGACCCTGCGGCCTCTACCACCACCTCTTCATCGGAATCGGACAGCCTGTTAACTAGAGAGCCGACAATGTTTTTCCCTTGCAGTAAGCGACGCGTAGATGGGTCATTCTGGATGAAATTTGACACAGCTACACAAGCCCATTTACGCTCAGCAGCGTCTGGGCTTTCCATCTAGTCTACTAGTTAATGTAAGCCGCTTGTAGCAACACTCTGAAACACGCCTTTTGCATGATAGGCAGGATCGCCTCCCGCTTCGACGAAGAGGCAGAGGCAGAGTCGAGGCCCTTAGGCAGATGCGAGTCTGGCACACGCATGGGGTTGTGCCTGCGCATCTGGCGTTTCTTCTGAGATTTGCCCATTGTAACGGAAGGCGAAGAGATGTAAGTAGGCTGGTATGATCGTGACAGGTGGGACTTGGAGAAGGATGCAGCAAGTCGCAAGATTGGTCGTCAGAAATTACCAAAGAGGACTTGAGAGGGGAGCTAGGATGAAACAACAGTTAGTTCATAGTAGAAAATTTGAGGCCATAAAATGAGCCACCGGGTGTCATTGATCAAGCGTCTCTATGTTGAGTCGCCGGAGTGTAAGGATAACATGTATGAACTAAGTAGAGCTACTTTAAGATATACTTATTCGGTAGATTATGTGCTTAGAGCGCGTTTTTATCCAGTAAGCTTTGTCGGATGCCTGAGCGCCAAACGCAATTGCTCACTTCATTTGGCCCCGCCAACAGACAAACGACCTGCGAACACACTTGCCTCGTAATGTACGTGTACAGTCCCATGGAATTCCCACCGTACGTTGACGCATTGCAGGGATGATGATGACGACCTTTTCCTCTACGGCGACTCTGCTGACACGGAGGAGCCTCCCTCGTCAGCTCCCGTTGCGCCTGCTCCTGGTAAGAACAGAATTTTCCGAGTTGCGATACATTGTTTAGTTTTCATGTGTGTCCTCTTGTAATGCCATGCCTTTGAACCCTAACTGCGTGACCAGCAGTGCCTCAACCGCAACCGTGAGTTAATGCATACAAGCCTCCCTCGTCAGTACGTCCTCACCCAGATGGCTAGTATCTCGCTCGAACAAGTCGAGGCTTTCGCGACAAGCAATGGCGTCGTTGCACATCTCGAAGCAGAGGCCGCTGGCGAAGCGAACGGCATAGACGAAGACGCGGAGGAGAACGGCGCAGATGAGGAGGAAGAAGCAGAGAAAGAAGACGGCGGTGAGGAGGAAGAGGAGGACAGCGAAGACGTGAGTCCAGAAAAGTTCAGAACTTTCTGTATGGTGTTGACGGTGTAATGCTTGCCCCAAGGATGTTGAAATTATCATGGAAGCCCCCAGTCGCTCCCTAGACTTCAGGTAACGCTCGGTGCTATTTGGAAAGCTTGCGATCTTAATTGCCCAACAGACAGCGACCCCAGCCGGGCAGACCATCAGGATCATTCTCTACCCCTACCAGACGTGCGTAGTGCATCGTGTACGCTGCGTTTCTGTGCGCTGACATTGGTGCATAGCTCAACAAGCTCCCGCACCAACGCTCACGACCGAGTATACTCCTCGGGAGCGCGGGAGCGCGACAAAGCCTCCTATACTACAGTCTACTCCGGGGCCCTCACAATCTACGCCGACACCAACAACCCCTGCGCCTCCGTCTGCGTCACAAGAGCAACAAAAGCCATCGGACGGCGTAGATCCTAACACATTACCTCCCGCCGTAGCACCGCCTTCTCATCCACAGATAGATCCCGAGGCACCAGGAACCTTCAATGGGCAGTCAATTCTCGAAGTCGACCTCAACGCGCTGTCGGACAAGGCGTGGCGGCGACCTGGGTCAGACATCAGCGACTGGTTCAACTACGGATTCGACGAGATCTCGTGGGAGGCCTATTGTCATCGGAGGAAGGAAATGGGAGATACGGCAAACATGCTGAAGGCTGCTGTCCTCGTGCGTAGTCGCTTCGTCTTCTATTCGCATTGCTACGGATCATGTTCGCCCGCCGGCGTCACGTCCATCCACAAAATCCTAATATGCGCTAAGAAACTGACATCTCGCTCATCTAGAACTTTGCTGGTATGCCAGAAGAGCAAATCAACTCTCTACCTCCCGAAATACGGACGATGGTTATTGCCAGTGCGTCCGCAATGATGGGTCCTGGAGCCAACGCTCCAGGAGGGGCGGGCATGATGCCTGGGGGCATGAACATGAACGGAGCCATGATGAATCCCATGATGAACATGGGCCCGATGATGGGCGGCATGATGGACATGCCCGTCGACATGGGCATGGGCGGACAAGGCATGAACATGGGTATGGGACCTGGCATGGGTGGTGAGGGCATGGGAGGCGGCGCAATGGGTGGTCCAGGTATGGGCGGTCAAGGTATGGGCGGTCAAGGTATGGGCGGTCAAGGTATGGGCGGTCAAGGTATGGGCGGTCAGGGCATGCCAGGCCAGGGCATGCCGGGACAAGGTATGGGAGGACCCGGCATGGGTGGTCCAACTATGAATGGCGGAGCACTGAGTGGTGGTGTTGCAATGAGCTCAGGTGGTCAAGGACAGATGCAGGGGCGTGCGACGCCAGACATGCAGATGGGAATGGGCGGCGGGGAAGGCTTCAACGGCGGTGCACCTGGCCAAGGCGGCCAGATGCCGATGGGCGGAGAGTTTGGAATACAGGTAAGCCCGCCCTCAAATTGTCGCTGCACGCCTGATTGAAGTTGGTCGCACACAGGGCGGTGACATGAGCCAGCAAATGAGCCAGCAGATGTATCCTGGAAGCGACGGAGCTGCTGGTGCACCAACGACTGGGTCTACCCCAACACGCGGCGGTACCCCAGGGCACTTCAGAGGGCGAGGAATACCTCAGCAAGTTCCATTGCGTGGCGCTCGCGGAGGAGGATATGCGGCGAGGGGGCGTCGTACGTATTCTTGGTTTTAAATTCCCCATAGGTTAAAGCTAACGCCTCAATAGCTCTCCCTGTGAGACCCGCATCACCGCTTCCACCGAACGTGCCGACAGGACCACGGAATAAAAATAAGTACAAAGACATCGATGGAAGCGCACCAGCTGTGGAGGGTTTAGACTACGGTGGCGGTAAGGATAGGACGACACCTCCCGACTACGACGACCGCAACAGCGCCCGGTGAGTTTGACATATATCTTGAGCTTTGATTTGTTAACCAATCAACTCCAGGAAACGTCGCAGCTCTCCTGGTTTGGATGACCGGAGCTCGAAGCGACGATAGCGTACATTTCTCACGTATATTTCAGCGGCTGCCACCCTATGCACATGTCTTTGATGCTTATGTCCTTTTCCCATTGTTCTACTTTGGGGTGCGACGGTCATCCGATAAGTTTTGTTCTTGTATGTTGCGAACTGAGCATGTACCGATAGGTATGCATGTTTCTGTACAGATGTGGCGATGAGGAAACTCAAGTTTTTTGGCATTCAATAATTTTTAGGAGCTAATATGCGATTGAGAGCTATCGAAATAAGCATCGGTGCGTTCTATGAAGAACAGACAGTGCTAAGATTTTTCTCGCGTTGAGCAGGATGGAGCACGGAGTTGACATTATGTCAGCTTGCTAGGCGGAAGGGGTATGCAGAGTAGGGAGGCGAGCACCATGCCGAGTCGAACTTGAATCACCTTGAGTTTCACCTGAGGAGTGGGCTGGAGCGTGCTCGGAGGTCAAAGCCCAATTACTACCAGCAGCTATACTCACTCTCATCTGCCCTGAAGATTCGCCTTAGCTTGCATGTATGCAATCTCAATCTACTCCGCTAGCGCGAGGTTCAAGCTCACGGGATCAAATTTAGAGGGCCTGAAGCTCAAAGCCTACCCTCGCGCCTTTCACCGTCAACTGCAAAGTGGCCGAGTAATCCGCGATTGGCCTGACACATGGAATCGAGACCAAGCTTGGTGTGGCCCACCAGGCATAATGACCGAGATAAACCTCTTCCCGGGGCAGTATTCATGGACGTACCGTCGTATGTCTGCGCGCTAAGTCTGAAATTTAGATGCCGCTTCTACTAATCTCACTAAACATCGAGCTCAGAGCCTAGTACGATACGGAACGGCTGCCTGGTCGATATCATCGTGAGTGGATGACGTGTCGTTGGGTATACGTACGCACATCCTCTGGATCTGGCAATCAAGTCTTTAGTAACCTATGCCGCCTACAGACAATAAGCGGACGCAGGGACAATATTAAGGCCAGGCTTGCCTTCTTGCGAGCCGCGCATACAATCACCATAAAGATCTACCTTGCACATACTGCCTCGATCAACCAAGCGGACGCGCCATTCAAGCTCATACGTGCACGAATTCGCGAGGGTCGGAGATCCAAGGCCCGCAACCCACCTCGCTTCGTGTCAATCATCGAAAAGTGCGAGATAGTCGAAGAGCACACAATGGGTCTCACTCGTGTCGTGCAGCTCAGGCCCGGCACTGGGCGGGATCGGTGACGTCGTCGTGGTGGCGACGTCCATGTACAGTTGCGGACAGGCAAACTCGACAAATTCGACGCCGAACGTAAGCCGATTTTTCTAGCTTCCGCAAGTTGTGTGAGATGTCAGGTAAACGCAGGAATGGGACGAGAATGGACAGTAGAAGAGATTTGTACGAGCGAAATTTCTCTCCGTGCACTTTTGGCGAAACTACTGTAGCGATATGACCAAAAGTTCAGGTCACGGTCATGAGGCCTCTGAACAGGCCGAGGTTGAACTGGCGGTCACGGTCACGATAAGCCGATGAACTCGCTGCGAATCCGTGACGAGGGCGCTTTTCAATATCTTCAGTAGTTTTGCTTGAATTTGCGCTTTGTCCTCAGGTGCACAGTGTGCGGGCGAGGGGCGCGAGAACCCTTCTTAAGCTCAGCCCGCAGTTCAGCCCAATATGTGTGTGCTCCCAACGGCTGGCCCTGCCTGATGTGGCCTGCGCCCGCCGCCTAGTCACGGTTCGGTCACTGAACCAAGATCATGGTCACGAAGGGTCACTGAACTCTGGAACCAACCAGTCTATGTCTTTGTGCACTCAGTTGATCTTTGCTGTATCAAACAGCATATAACTAGATTGACAGGAGGCATACATGCAAAGCAAGTGAGAACGAGGTGGCAAGAACTGTGTCTGAAGGTACGGGGAAAGCCAGCAGCTTTTGGCATGGCAGTGCCCAGTACAGTGAATAAAAACCTGCCTGGCAGGCAGTGAGTCCCAGGCAGGTGGGCAAAAAACAGGGAGGGTTGGTGGAAAAGAACAAGATAAGACAAATAAAGGCAGGCAGTTGAAAGTGAATAAATAAAGGAGAAATTCAATTGTCCTGTAGCAGAGGTGAGAAAAAATGACTATAAAGCAGTAAAATATACCTGGTACATACCATGCCAAGTGCAAATTATTGTCGTGGTACAACAACTAGGCTGCGCAAGCACGAACTGGCGAGAGCATGCAGGCACAATCTAATACACATGGGGATTAGTCTGAGTGCAAAGGAAAAGAGCATGCTGTATAAGTCTAACCTAATACACATGGGGATTAGCTATACAGTGGGTGGTAAGCATACGGCATACTGCAAGGGCAATGAAGGAGACTTACTCTGAGTGCAAAGGGAAAGAGCACACAGAGTGGAGGAGCGGGGAGGAGTCCTTATATACAAAAGGGAAGCAAATTGAAAGTCCGCTATAATGGGGAAACCTGCCATAAAGAGGTCCGTGCGTGGGAGCACTACATATGATTGTCCAATCACTATCTACGTATTAGTAGTGCCTAATCTAAGATGTCCACCTTAAGTCCATGCCAGGCAGAACACCGAGCCAGAGCCACTAGGTGCTTCAACACTCTTCCTTGGTGAGGTGATACGGAACTAGGCCAAGAGACTGGGTGTGACAACTGTGTACCTCAGCCGGTAA